AACAATTACGGATTGAAGGCCTAATTCAGGTGTAGATATGTAAGCCTAATCTAGGTGATCAATCTAAATTCAACTCAACACATCATGGTGAATTATTCAAAATAACACAAACAATTCTAAAAAGATATTAAAATCATCAACCACGAATCAATCAAACATCATCAAGTCGTAGGGTTCAACTTCCCCGGAACTAGAAATAAAAACTAGCCTAACATGCTAAATAAAAATAAAAAGATAAAAGAGAGAGATTAAATATCTCCCTCGTGTACGGGTGCGGCCTCCCTCCGCTATTGTCTGCTTCCTCGTCTGTCTGCTCTCTGTCCGCGATGCCTACTGTGTCCTGTGTGGCGGCTTCCAGGCTTTGCGTAAATAATTCCAGTCCCAAAATTAACTTATGAATCCTCTTCAATTCAGGCGGCGTGAATGGGTTGCTAATTAATTAATTTCATGGCCTAACTTTGGGCTACTGGCACTTTAATTTCAATGTAGGCCCACTTTCAAAATTCCTGCCCAAAATGTATTAAGTTCCTAGCCCATGTTACGTGGAGTGCATGGAAATAAGTATATGCTTGGGCCTTCAAACACAATTGGCACACATGGGCCGGCTTGGGCTGGTATGGGGTACTGCTACGTCAGTACGGGGCGCCCCCGTACTGCTCCGGATGAAATTTCTTCAAATGTCACGTCGCCGCCGAAAACACTCCAATATCCTATAAATAAACCATAAAAATATCAAAGTACAATAATCCATCTAATAAATAAATAAGTCAGAAAATATATAAGTGCGATAAAATCAAGCATATAAAATACGCTAATAAATATATAAAATACACACTTTTTCCGACCAATCACATGTGTAACACATAAATTTGCATATATATGTACTCTTTTCCTCGACTGCTTTTTCCTACAGGGGTTTGCAGCGAGGTTTTTAACGAGGCATAGACATGATGCGGTAATGTCCAAGGGGGAGTGTTGTAAATATTAATTTGTGGACATTACCTAGATATAAGCTTTGTAGGTATGGACCAGGAGCCCATTAGGTCTTTAGTCATGTACATTGTATTCCCTTATATATAGGGCTCAAGTGAATGAATAAGATGAGAGTTTTAACGGCGTATCTCTTCTTTCTTATTCTTCTCTAATCCTTTCTTTGTTTTTCTATCTATCTTACACATGGATCTTACATATTGTCAATATATATTACAACGATAAGATTTTCATTAATTGTTATTTTTTTTTTTTCTCTGTCAATTATCCCAAAACTAAAAAACCACCATTTCAATTGTCAAAAGTAATTAGAATTTGAATAAAAAAAAATTAATTCGACGGAATATTTCAATGAACGTCAAAACATTGAAATTAATTTCGAAACTATGTTGTGATATATCGAATTTACAATTTTACTTGACATAATAAATGACATGAATGATGTGGGTGTGTAGAAATTATTGATTCTAAAATCCTCCTATATATAACTCTCGCGCTGAACTTAACTGACAGACTCGTATGTTTCGGGATCCTAAGTATCAAAATTGAACAAAATTTAATAAATGGTCCACTATGTGGCCATTTTCTAAAAATGGTCCATTATCTAGGTAGACGTGGTCAGGTGTCGGTTCCTGGCCCGGCCTGCCGGGTCACGGGCCCTCCAACACATGGCCCGCGACCGACCCGCCTAAAAACCAAGGGCCGGTTCACAATACTGGCCCGAACTGCCGGTTCACCGACCCGGCGGTTCACGGGCCGTTCCGGCCCTTAAAAAAAAACTTTAATAAGGTGGCCCGTCGTCCGACCCGGCCCGAATCGGTGGGACCAAAATAAAAAAAAGGAACTGGACCAAACCGCGGCCCTACGGGTCCCGGTTCAACGAACCAGAACCGGCCTCTTAAGGGCCGGTTCGGGTTAGTTCGGGCCGAGCCGGTACCGGTTCGCGGGTCGGTCCACGGACCGGTTCGGCCCGTGGCCATGTCTACATTCAGGGCCTCATCAAGAATGATACACTAAGTTGTCAATTTAATCAATAACCGACATAAGGTACTAAAAATAGAGGAACCGGTCTCGGCCCAGCCCGAACAGGACCCTTAGGGCCGCGATTTGGTCCCAGTCCATAATTTTTTTTTACCCGACGATCCGGGCCGTGTCGGGTCGGACGACGAACCATTATATTTTTTTAAGGGTCGTACCTGCCCGTGACCCGTCGGGTCGGTGAGCCGGCGGTTCGAGTCCGCTTTAGGAATATGCCCATATTTTATTTCAGGCCGGTCACGGGCCATGATATTGAGGTCCGCCGACTCAACGGGCCGGGTCGCAGCTCGGCAATTGGTCACCTCTAATGAAAAATGATCATTTTTCGCTGTCATATTCAGTACACTATGTTGACTTTTATACAAATTTTGATTAAAATGACAGCTTAGTAGATCATTCTGGAAGACGCCCTATATGATGGACTATTTTCAGAAAATGGCCAACATAGTGTACTAAAAATGAAATTTAGCGTCAAAACTCTATGTTTCATTATTTGGCTTGGATAAATATTAATTTAATTCCAATTCAAAAATAATTATATCCGGATTACTAAAAATATGTTGATTTGTTTATGATCATTTTATATGTATTAATTGTATTTTAGTATCATTCCTATTATAATCCATTGAGTTGTAAATGTATGAAAAGTTGATAAATATCAAGTTAATCATCTTTTGATGAACTTAGAGTTGACATCCATATTGTAAATATAAAATAATCAAATTATATTTATCTTTATAATAATAATAAAATTATTTAAACTAATTTGAAAAATAAAATTATTTCTCAATAATATATTTATGCATGTTTAATGTAGTTATAAGTTATAAGTTACACAAATTATTATAATATAACAACAGATAAGTCACACAAGAAATAAGTGTTATACTAAAATATATAATAATACATATATTTTTTTATAAAACAATATAACCATTCATTGATTTTAAATTTCAAGAAAAAAAAATTTAGTAAGCACTCGTGTAATACACGAGTGTTGTACTAGTTGATAATCAAATGTAAACCACATAACCGTCCCACGCATGTATTAATATTATTATTAATTTATTATTAATATTATCAATCATTATATTATAACTATATAGCATGATCCATTTTCTTATAATATATCTTAACTTTAGTTCACATTAAAATAGTATTATCCTTAAGATATTCCCTTTTTTGGTTCTAGAATTGCTCCAATATATTGTGGTATATATATAGCGATATATAGATCTTGCTTTTACTTACACATTCTAAAGTAGTATATTATCCTTATCCTTTATATACCTCTCCTTTTGCTCTAGATTTGCTCTAATTAATAGATAGATTGTGATCTATAGCCCGAGCAAATCATAGATTTATAAAAAAAGCAGGACATTTAGGGACAAAATATTGCGTTTATTTCGTTATGACACGTATATAAATATGCGACGTCATTATGTACACATGTCGTTCACCCGACGAAATAAAAAAAAAAAAAGACGAAATATAATATAAAGTAAAATAGATAATCTCATTCAAAAGATTAGGTGTAAAAACATAGTTGTATTTGTTTGCTTGTCTCGTAATTAAATGCTGTGTGGACTGTGTTAGTTTGTCCCATATACAAACCGCTTGAATTTGGCTTTTTTCAGTCATGAGTCATATGTTTGCTAAACTTTTATCCTTATCAGAAAGTATTGTCCTTATTTCACAAGTGAAAAGGACACAACTATGAAGTATGAAGAGTATCAAACATTTTTCTTTAGAGAGAGAGGATCATAACTTAAGAGCTTTGTGTGTGTGTGTTTTCAAAATAGAGCTTTAGACTTAACTATGTTTGACCAATCGAACCGATAAATGATCTCGAGCTAAACATATTTATCAAAATTAACAAGCCGAACTAACCTAATAATCTAAGATATTATATATATCAAAACTCGACTTTTCGAATTTTAACAAGACCAGTCGTACTTAACTCATTAACTAAATAAAGTTAAGATCAACTTGTTTATACGAGGCTACAAGCTGAGCTGAGGTGAGCTCAAGAGCGGCTCAGTTGATTTTGACAATTCTATTTGTAACAAACTAGAATTATTGGACATCTCATTATGTCGACACGGGACATGTTAATTCTTAATTGTCACAAGATAAAATAGAATATCATCTTGTACCGAAAAAAAAAAGAATACTATAATATATTTATTATTCAATTATTGTCATGGTAGGCCACGAGTTAATATACTTCGTGATCATTTTTGTACAATAACATACAAGTACAGAAAGTGAATTGAATGTTAATTTAGATTTCAAATAACATTTTTAAGTAGCATAAGCCCAATGAACGAGAAATTGGGCGATTCTAGTTTTGGGTTCGAGTTTAATTATGTAATTTGGGATCGGATTAAGGACGCATGGCGTTGTAATCGAACCGAAAGAGATTAATTTAAGCATTTCGTGCTCGTATTTGTTTATGTTCAAACACTGATCATGTTCATCTGTCTAGACAAAATTCACGTTCAAGCTCGTTCATGTAATTATTGATCGAAACTTGAGTTTAATTGTTTGTAAAAACTACGAACATGCTTTGTTTTGTGGGTGTTCTATTGTGCTATGCTGGTGGAGGTTAATTTTCAGGCCGAATAATAAATAGTTAAGTTGATATGACTTGGGTTCAGCTCATTGATGCGACCGCTAACTGAACAGCACGGCCCAAATAAGTATAAATCTTCAACAAATTCATCGGCCCATTATGTTAACTAAAACCCTAAAAATCAAAGCCCAATTAATCTCCACCGCGCGTTGTTCATTTCTCAGAGACCACAGCTCGTCGTCAACATCATTATCATCACCATCATCATCCTCAACTCTCTTCCTGTCACTGTTCACACACACACACACACACACACACACACACACACACACACACACACTTCCCTTCAGATTTTCAGATCTCTGAGCTGCAAATTTACTTCTCGCATGTTAAAAAGATGTCGATTTTGCAGATGTCCTTTACAGTTCCAGTAACCCCAGAATCCCTCTCATCGGCGAAAACCCTGTCAATCGGCTTCATTTCAGATCGATCGGTGCTTTCCCTCACCACAAGACTCTCCAACCTCTCTCTAACCACCTCAACCCCCTACAAATTGACGCAGATTCGTATGGGTGGCGGGCCTCGCACTTACCCCGGCGGCGTCTCGAAGTGGCAGTGGAAGCGAATGCAGTTGAAGAAATCGAAGCAGCTTCTGAAAGCCCGGCTGGCCCGAGAGCGCCAGATATACGAGATGAGGAAGCGGGCCGAGCTCAAGGCCGCCGTCACGGAGCTCGAGCGCCCCTGGGAGGCCGTCGAGAAGCCGCCCAATTTGTTCTCCGCGAGCGCCGACGAGCAGCTGCAGGTGCTGGCGGACCGGTTTCAGAAGCCCGGGGGGCTGGATTTGTGGTCTGAAAGGGACGGGCCGGAATTGTTCAGGCACGATAATGGGCTGCCGTCTTCCAGGTTTTTTCCGAAAGGGGTTGTTCATAGCGCCCAACCAAATCGGAAATTGGCTGCTGCTTCGGAAGAATCGGATGGTTTGGGTCTGGAAGAAGAATCGAGCCCTGGCCCGGTTGGTGGACGTGTGGTTGAAACGGGCCTGCGAAGTCAAAACAGGGGAGAATATACGAATTCGAAGAGAAATCTGAGGACTTCAAGTAAAGGTGGAAGCTTGGATGGTGACAAAAGTGGGAATTATAGTGGAAAACTTAGGGAGAAAGGAAATTCAAGAACTTATTCGAGTGATTCGGAAAGAAAGAACTCTAGGGATTATAGAAGGAATAATGGGGATAACCGGTGGCAAGGTGAAGCTATTAAAAAACTATGGAGGAGCAAAAAGGGTCGTGTAAAGGGTGAGAATGTGAATAGTGAAGTGTTTGATATGAATCTGCAAGATGATGGGGTCTATGGGTTTGATTTGGAGAACTGAGGATTTGGTGTATTCTGTCAATTGGTAGACAAAGTTTTGGGTTTTTATGACAGTAAGTATTAAGGGTTTGATTTGGAGAGCTGGTGATTTGGTGTATTCTGTCAATTTGGTGGACAAAGATTTGGTTTTTACTATGACAGTAAGTTTCAGTGAGTAAAGCTTGCTGCTCGGCTTGGAGTTGTAGTCCAAAGAGTGGAAAGCTGAAGCTTTTGGGATATATTCAGGTATCATTAAGCAGTCTTTCCTTGCCTAAGTAAAATGTGCTTATTGTTATTGAAGCTATGATGTGTATATGCAGTGATGTTGTGAATTATTCGAGTCGAATGTCAATGCCATATAATCTATGTTTTTCCCTTGTGGACTATGAAATTTATTCATGTGAAATTCTTGTGGCTTTAAGTTATCTTATGCAGATTCCTACTGTAGGATTTTACCTTGATGGAAAAAGTCTAACTAAATATGGTTTAAACTTGAAAAATGTTCCTCCCCAAAAGTTCTTGTAACCAGCATTGTACAAATCAGTAGCTGTTTGAATTTTTTCATGTGTTGGTTTTTTGTCACTTTGAGAATTGTCGGTGGCAAACCATTTGGGAGATAAGTTCATAAGAGAAAAGGAACTATTAGTGATAGGGCTGCACATTCGGTCGAAACCGACTGAATTTTCGGTTTGTCCAGTATTAAAACCGAAACCGAACTGAAACCTTCGGTTCGGTTCGGTTTCAAACCGAAAATCCAGCGGCGTTATCAGTTCTGTTATCGGTTATCTGATAAAATAAAAATAAATGACAAAAGTATTGCAATTTGTGAGTTACAATTGATAAAAATAACAATCGATGCTACTTAATAATTTTACAAAAACAAACTAAAATGACCGGGCAGAGCTTGTAAGGCCTATTGCAAGCATTCTACAGCCCGGCTGTAATTTAAGAAGCCCATGTACCAAAATTCCTGATTATCGACGGATGTTTTGAAGTGCTGCCAAGTGTTCCCAGCAATGCCATTCTTCCCCTTGGAATCCCCATCAACACTATTCTTTAGCATCACGCTCCCAATGGACCTGATTTCAGTTAACCGGGCAGAGATGAATACGATTTTAGGTAGGGTTTTCCACTTCTGTTTAGAACTTATGAAATTTTATGAGAATTGGGATTGGTGAGGCTGGGAGTATGTGTTATGGGCCAGTGGCCTATGGGTATAGGAGATGACAAATGAGGGAGATTGGATTTGGGCTTGCTTTGTGGTGGAGCTGGTGGTGGGTGGGCCCTAGGTGGCTTTGGGCTTGTGGGTATTGGATTGTTGGTGTTCACTTAATTTTTATTTTATCATTATATTGCGCAGGCCCTTATAACATATATGTGTATCGTCGGTTTTCAGTTCGGTTTGGTTAACCGATAGATTATATCCAAACCGAACCGAAAACCGAAATATTAAGAAAATGTGAACAGAAAATCGAACCAAATATTCGGTTTCAATTTCGGTCGGTTAACCATATTTTATGCACTCTAACTAGTTTAGTCTTTTACATGCAACTTGAACAAGTTAGATATTGGAACTTGAGATATATGAGCTTAACTTAATGCTTTTCTTTATCGAAATCTGAGTTAATTCACGATTCTTCCATATTTTTGTAATAATGATCACAAATATTATGTATTTGATTTGTGATCATGGATTACATTGTTGGATTCCAAGCAGAACTCGTCTGTTTGACTTAATTAAATTAAAAGGTCCTAATAAAGTTTCATGATTGCAGCAATATAAAAAACATGATAAAAATACTAAAGTAGATCGAATAAACAAACATTAATGTAAATATAGTGTGCAATTTATAATGCTTTTTTGTTTTTTAATTGAAATAACTGCAGTTAAAGTAAATATGAATAAAGTGTGCAACTTATAATGCAATTTTTCTTTTTAATTAAAAAAATGCAGTTATATTTATGGGTAAATACTCAGGTCCCAAAATGATACCGTCAGTGTTTGTCACAATTGAATATACATATAGATTATGTTGTATGGATAATTTTCGAGTTTGTAGTAGTTCCCTCATTTATTTGAATACACATATAGATTATGTTGTATGGATAATTTTCGAGTATGTAGTAGTTCCCTTATTTATTATGATGATGATTTATAACAATCAGCTAACAGTCACGCACACGTTAGTGTTTGTGTGAAGGTAATACGTATTCACAATAGATATTTAAAAATATGAATTACACAGAAGAAATTGCAACTTGGCTATATTCGTGCAATAAAAATTGCAGCCATTCAATGTCTTTTCTATATATAAATTATTTTCTTTCTTTTCTATAAATTAGTTTAAAATATTTTTATAAATATTTTGAAAATATGATAAAATATATTCATGGATATTGAATTGAATTTATTAACATGTTGTTGGAAATTTTCACCATCCATTCTATTTTTAAGATATTTTGTTTGAAATGTTTACGTAAATAATTTTAAAATATTTTATAATTCTTTTCTTGATTATAGGATTGAATTTGTATACATCATAAATCAAGATTTTCTGCACATATATAAATCAATTTTTTT